TTTAGCAAGATGGTGTGGGCATACCACACGTTCCTGCCCCGTCATATGACGGAAATCCTGCCTCCTTACAACCGCACCGCCATGGTTGTGAGCGACACAGAGATCCTCACCTTTGACGGAACTGTGCTCCGAGCCCCACCTTCACCGTGTGAGGTTGTCTTGGCTGCCTACAAATCCTACAAACTTACCATGGCCCATCCACAACCCACGGCCCTACCACAGATCAAATTTTCTACTCATTCCGCTACCGTCATAGTTAAGCCGGACTTCCGTGTTGACGTCAACGGTAGAGAGATGAACAGACAACGACAAACTGTAGGTGAAGTCACCGTTCAGAAGTCGCCCCATGAAGTCAATGTGACGTCACCGTTCCTGACAGTCCGGGTATTCCGTGAAAAACATGTAGTATCCGTGAACGTGTCTGGCTGGACCTTCGGTCACATTGCGGGGCTCATGGGCAGTTACGACAATGAAGTTAGCAACGACTTCTTTACGTCTTCGGGAAGGAACGCCTCCAGTCTGAAGGAGCTAGTGGCATCATGGCAGGAGGACCACCAGTGTCCAACCCCCGACATCTCTCCTTTCAATTACGATACCGTCCCGATACCAAAGATCATTCAATGCAAGGCACTAATGAATTTCCAGTCCAGATGCTACCCGCTAGTTCATCACGAGCCCTTCATCAAGATGTGCCTCGCCGCCCGCCAGCCCTGCGACGCTGCTCAGGCCTACCGGACCATCTGCTCCAGCAGAGGTGTGCACCTCATGGTACCGCCTTCATGCTGACAGCCACGACTCTGATACCAGCCAGTTACATACTCACGATAGCGATTTTACTCTATTAGAGACTGTTTTAATCAAAATCAAAGATTTTATTTTGAATTAAGATAGTCAGGTCAGATTCCAAATTTTGACCCCCTTTCACCCGGGATTATTTTATTAGGTACGCTAATAGTCTCTGGTATGAACCAATTGTTGTTGATGACTTAATGCACAATTATTTGGTTGCCTTCGGGAAGATCTTGAAGTTGTGACGGCTCAACCAGGGACGTCACAACATTCATGACGGGTTTGAGGCAAAGCCCAGATCATGGGACCCTCACACCCTGACAAAAGGAAGATCCACAAACGCCTAATGTTGAAAACGTTGAAAAATTGAGTTTACTTGCCCCGACGTTTACCCTTTGGGGGTTTACCCTTGGAATACTGGAGGGGTTACCCCCCACACTTATCTGGCTGCTTCAAATGACCAGTATACTACTGATGGTGTGTATAATATACCACTGAAGTTAAAGTAGTTCTGAGTGCTTTGATGGACGTTACAACAGCATGCTCGGAGGGGTGAAAGAGTGTAACATGTTTACACATGTTACACTCTTAACATGTACGACATGTTTACTCCGAGCTTTGTAAATCGCAATTATTATTTTCTGTAATCTTCGAAATATGCATATGAAAATGTAAAAAAAAAAAAAAAAAAATACAAAAAAAGAATAAATATTACTCAAACTTGTATCTACATTTCCTTGTTTCATCCTTCAGTTAAATTTACACGTATTCATATCCTCACAGCCCGCCAACACACTCCTGCATACTGATGTTAATCTCTCACATACTGACACATTTCACAAACACGCTGACAACACTAAACTTTTTGTCATTTATGTAATTTTTATGTCATTTTTAGTCACGTAATGACACATTACACCCCTAATAATAACACACCTGTCACGCACGTACAAAAGCAGGCATCATTTCAGTGGGAGGAGAGTAAGTGGTAGGGGTCTTGACCTCTCAGAGAAAGACACAAGACCCCGACAAGAACACAGGAACAATGATGGAATGAATACCCTCCAAAGCGTGACAAATATATCTCACTGATTGATAGCTAATCTGCTATGATTTGAAGGCTTTAAAAATTATCAAATTGACATGGAAATATCAATTGATTGAGGATAAGAAACATGGATGATGAACCTAGCAAAAGTAGCGTAGTACAGTTGGATTCAATGGCTACTCACATCCCGAGCTCAAATCCTGGGCGGGGCAGAAACAGTGGGGTACGTTTCCTTTCGCCTAATGTCCTAATGTAATTAGGTGAATAGCAAATAGGTATCCGAGAATTAGGCAACTGTTGCAACCTGGGGATGGTCAGTATTTCGAAATTCTGGAGAATCTCGATAGAAGCCTAATATATATATATATATATATATATATATATATATATATATATATATATATATATATATATATATATATATATATATATATTTTGGTAGCAGTCTTTCCTGTAGACATATATTATTAAATATGACCGAAAAAGTAAGATTAATAATTCTAACACGAATTTTCTCGATCTTTCTTACGTTTCTTTTCACTGTTGATGGTAATTCAAAGATCAATTCTCCAAAATTCATTTTTATTTTTATTTTATTTTATATTTATATATATATATATATATATATATATATATATATATATATATATATATATATATGTATATGTCGTACCTAGTAGCCAGAACGCACTTCTCGGCCTACTATGCAAGGCCCGATTTGCCTAATAAGCCAAGTTTTCATGAAATTATTGTTTTTCGACTACCTAACCTACCTAACCTAACCTAACCAAACTTTTTCCGCTACCTAACCTAACCTAACCTATAAAGATAGATTAGGTTAGGTTAGGTAGGGTTGGTTAGGTTCGGTCATATATCTATGTTAATTTTAACTCCAATAAAAAAATTAACCTCATACATAATGAAATGGGTAGCTTTATCATTTCATAAGAAAAAAAATAGAGAAAATATATTAATTCAGGAAAACTTGGCTTATTAGGCAAATCGGGCCTTGCATAGTAGGCTGAAAAGTGCGTTCTGGCTACTAGGTACGACATATATATATATATATATATATATATATATATATATATATATATATATATATATATATATATATATATATATATATATATTATATATGTTGTATACTGTATCCACTTCAGGACACTCATTTATACTGTATAAGTGAGTGTTGTATACTGGTTGTTAAGGTTGCTGTCTACTTGTCAACTTTTCCGTCTATCAAGAATCATATTAACTTATTCATATATAAGACAGTCAAAGTTATGTTTAATTAATTTGCGAGGAAATTGGGTGCCTAATTTTTGAAATGTTGGAAAATGTAAATGTTATGGGGAAGCCTAGTCGGCCATATTCGACATGGCGGGCGGAGAGAACGCCATCACTGGAGAGCGAGTTTAGCGCCAGATGAGAAGTGCTGGCTGCTTGCAACATGGATTAACTGATCGAGGACTGACCTTACACACGGCGCAGCTTAGTGAATCTCTTAGGAAGAGATTGGTAAGTGGATTATGCAAGGTGCAAGTCAGAATATTCGTTATTTGTAAATGGTGGGCAGGACGACCCAGTATGGTGGTCTTCCAAGCACGCTGGTTCTGAGGTCAGTCTTGTTGTTGTTGTTACAGATTCAGCTACTCGGAACAAGTTCCAAGTAGCACGGGCTATGGTGAGCCCGTAACTTACCTGGCACAGGAGCGGGGCAAGTAGCACGGGCTATGGTAAGCCTGTAGTGTACTTACCTGGCACAGCAGCGGTGCTGCACTCTTGCCAATGTGGATGTTTTACATCTAGATGATTTTAGTAACATCTGCATGTTAGAAAATGTTATTCAGATGTTAGATGTAAATCTAGATGATTTTAATAGAAACTTGGTTATTTTAAAATAATTTTCCCAAATTTGTACCAGAACAGACTTGCAAGTCTCCTATTGTGCTAGCGTGCGTTTATTTGTTTTTGTTTTTAACTGGTTGATTTGTTTTATTCTGGATAAAGTAAGTGCCCCACAAACAGTGTCCACGATCAGTACAGTCAGAACCGGTGAGTCAGTGACGCCTGTGAGTTTTTGAGAAATATATATTTGTATATCTGCTGGACATGATAGTTTCGTAATTAGGCTATGACGAGTGAAGTTAATTCGAAGAGTTACACGAGTTGGCAATAGCCTAGCAGTTTTGTGGAGAGTAATTTGGTTGCTGAATTTCACATTTATGTAATTAAAAGTTTCACTTGCCTAGCAGAGTAACCATTGCCTTGACTTGTTTTCGGTTAAAGTTTGCAAGCTCATTAAGGTTTGTATGAGGCTCGGAGGTGAGCGAGGCTACTAGTGTCGGAACCAATGAGTGTGGTGGCAACCACCAGCCGGGTCGGACGTTCCCCTGGTCTCCCTGCTGGTGTTTACATTGGGCGATTGTTGGTTGCCCTGACGGGTGGTTGTTTGCCACTGCAGGGTGACTGTTTTTCAGTCTCAGTATGGGGACTTACGTGCCGCCACTAAGGAGGAAGGACTCAGCTGGGCTGACATTTACCTGTCGGGTGGATATTGGCGTCGTCAGCAACACTCTGTTTGCAGTTATGGGTGTGAAAGTGGAAGATCTCGTCGGTCTACAGGTTGTTCGTGACGACAGAGTGGTTGTGAAGTTCGCCGAGAGTGGCTTGTTCCGGAGGTTTCTCGACCAGTATGAGGACAAGGTTGTGGGGCTGAGCAACGGTCGTGGCTCTGTGACTGTGATGAATTTGAGTGTGGAGTACACATACGTGTCTATTAAGTATGCGCCGTTTGAAATGTCTGAGGATCTTCTCCGTCGGGCTCTTGCCAGGTATGGGCGTGTGGACTCTATTCGTGCCTGTAGATACACAACCGGGAACGTCAAGGGACTCGGTAATGGTTACAGAACGGCTAAGATGGTTCTTCATGGGAATGTGCCTTCTTCTCTCGCGCTTGCTGGCTTTACGGTCTGCTTCTCCTACCTTGGGCAGACTCGGACGTGTTTTAAATGTGGCCACGTTGGACATTTGGCTGCTGTCCGACACTCAGATGTATGATCGGGTAAATGTGTTTCATGAAGCGGATTTTCCTCCCTTGCCCGAGCGTGAGGATGTCTCGGTTGTGGACGATACCCCTTGTGAGAGGACGGCCGCGGTGATGGGTGCCGCTCCAGTAAGTGCGGTTGGTGGTGTGGGTGTCGGGGTGGTGGGGGGAGCGGATCCGCCCCCAACATCGGCTTCCTCGCCTCCGCCGGCTCCGCCGGCCCCGTCTCCAGCTCCTGTGTCGCCTGAAGGGTGTGGGCCTGTGCCCCCTGTGGGTGAGGCTGATGTTTTTCCGGATCGTGTGTTGCCCGGTGACTTACGGCCGGCTGTGGGCTCTACTGGGATGCCTCCTGCTGGGGGCGACAGTTCGGATGATCAGAGGTCTCTGTCCAAGCGTTCCCGGAGGGCTAGGAGTGTGTCGCCCCCTCGTGGGTGGGCTGCAGAGTGTGAAGTTGTGGATGATGATGTGATGGAGGGGCCTGTGCGGCCTCCTGTGGCGCCTATGGCACCTGCTGCTGGTGCCTCCCCTCCTTGGGAGGTTGCCCCTAGTGATCGTGACCTCGTGGTGGTCCTCACGAAAACTGTGCGCCGGGAGGCCTCTGATCCTGTGCCCGGTGGTAGGGGCCCTGGTAGGTGTGTGTTCCCTGTGGTTTCCCCTGGAGTGAAGAACCGTGTGGCTATCAGTACGAACCTCTGTGGCTACCCTTGTCCGTCCCCTGGTGCTCGAAACCCTCGTGCTGCACCCTTTCCTGTGGTACCGGCCAATGGGGTCCCGCTCGATGCGTTGCAGGCTTTGGAACTTACTGTGGATAGCTGGGTGTATCCGGCGCCGTGGTGCCCCTATACTATTTGGGTACCGAGGGTGCAGTGTTTTGTTTATGGGGTGCCGGAGCTGATGCCTCAGCCTTGTGCGTCGCCTGGTAGACCGGTGTCTGATGATGTCAAGCTCGTTTGGGAGGCGTACTGCTTGCGGTTTCCGAAGAGGGAGTTTCCCGATAAATATGCGTAGTTTTGTGCTTGCATTATATGCTCCCGGAACATTTATAACTTATTGTATTGTCTGCTATGTAGTTGTTTTGTTTGCCTAGTTTAGGCCTTTGTGTAAATTGTTTGTATTCTTCATACTGTAATGTGTTTTCCGTGTGTGTTAGACTGTTATCTTCTGTGTTGTGTTTCTAATGGTGTTCTGTGTGTGTGCGCTTCTGGTGTGTGTGTTTTTTTTGCCGGGTCCTGCGTGTTCCGTTAGTTTTTTTCCTGTGTCTGTGGTCGAACGATCGCGTTTTTCTGTACTGTGTGCCGGGTGTTCCGTGGGTTGTGTGTGTGTATTGAAACTTTTTATTATTTTGTACCTTTGCTTCTGAAGGTTTCTTTTGCGCCATTGTGTGGTTTTTAATGTATGTAACTTGGCGCACCCCGTCTGGGTTGTGCAGTTTCTTATTGTTTTCTAATGAATTTTGCTTGTTTCATGGGTTCTCATTTACGTTTGCTCTATGAAAATTGTCCACTGTGTTTTTATTGTGTTCAAATATGTTCGGCTTTTGGTGTGACATCTGTACTGTACTTGTTCTGTGTTGCTTGCTTGTCAATTGGTGTTGTGTTGTTGGGTGGTGTGTGCTGGTGTAAGGTTTTTCTTTTGGTGCTTCGGTGCCTTAATGTTGTAATGTTTTCCTTGTCATGTATTTGTTTTATAAATAAAAAAGGAAAAAAACATAAAAGTCAAGCCAACAGAGTTTTGAACAATACACAAGCAAATGAGTCCCCACAGAAAGGCTTGAGCCCAAGGTTTGAGTGCCAATATAAATGGTAAAATTTCAGTCGAGGAACATAGCATTCTCTGCCACAGGTATTTGGTAGCTTGAGCATAAGCCCCAATTTTGTTCTTATAAGTTCAACCGTGAGCACTGGGCTGGGAAGTTCCGGTACCTCGTTAACAAGAAAGCTACAGGCGGCTTGCTCCTTTGCCTATGATGCCACATAGTCTCTCCGGCTTGGCGCCTTCTTTTGATAATTACTTACTGCTCCTTTGCCAGTGGGCCCGAGGACAAGTGAGGTAGTCCCTCAGGGCAGGGAAGTCATCCTCAGAGCTTTCAGCTCTATTCTACTCCCCTCAGGGAAGGCCCGTGGTGAGACTGTGTCTGTTGAGTCCCTTTGTGGTCGCGGTATGAAGAGGGTGGACGTGTGTTACATACCCCACTCCAGGACAGGTGTGGATGCTATATACTTGTTCCCTCGACAGAACGTGGATTGTAGAGGTTCAATACTGGTTTATGTGAAACTAAAACATCTCGCTAATAATCATAGAAATGAAAGGACATCGACACGCAAGGAATGTAAACATAGCAGTACTCAACTACCAACGCTGATATAAACCCTAAAAATGCCACATGAATAATGAGGATTCCACCTCAGTGACAATCAAAATTCAGGAATCTAAATTTTGAGATACACAATATTTAGAGGATTTTCGTATAAGTACAAATGATTGGAATTAAAAGTTTTATGAGTTAATCAGCCTCTTATCGAACTGATATCGCACCAGACATTTGAGGTTGTTAGTACATAATAAGAAGCTGTGATTAGTAGCTTAAGTGTGCAGCTGGAGGTGAAGAGCGAAAGTGGTTACAAGTATATAAGCGTGAAGAACGGGCAGATCAGAAACAGGGTTGGAGACGAGGCGCCATGACCGCTTGGGCAGCTCTCCTCGTGTTCACCATCCTGGTGGTGGTGGTGGGTGCTCGCGCAGGTCAGCCTTCATCCCTACACCTTCCCCTGTCAAATATGTATACCACTGTTACTGCCACACCATCACTGTTACTGCCACACCATCACTGTTACTGCCACAGGATCACTGTTACTGCCACACACTGTTACTGCCACACCATCACTGTTACTGCCACAGGATCACTGTTACTGCCACACCATCACTGTTACTACCACACCATCACTGTTACTACCACACCATCACTGTTACTACCACACCATCACTGTTACTACCACACCATCACTGTTACTGCCACAGGATCACTGTTACTGCCACACCATCACTGTTACTGCCACAGGATCACTGTTACTACCACACCATCACTGTTACTACCACACCATCACTGTTACTGCCACTGGATCACTGTTACTGCCATACCATCACTGTTACTACCACACCATCACTGTTACTGCCACACCATCACTGTTACTGCCACACCACCACTGTTACTGCCACACCATCACTTACTGCCACACCATCACTGTTACTGCCACACCATCACTGTTACTGCCACACCATTATTGTTAATGCCACACCACTTACTACCACAGCAACTGTTACTACCACACCATCACTGTTACTGCCTCACCATCACTGTTACTGTCACACCATCACTGTTACTGCCACACCATCACTGTTAATGCCACACCATCACTGTTACTGCCACACCATCACTGTTACTGCCACAGGATCACTGTTACTGCCACACCATCACTGTTACTGCCACACCATCACTGTTACTGCCACACCATCACTGTTACTACCACACCATCACTGTTACTGCCACACCATCACTGTTACTGTCACACCATCACTGTTACTGCCACACCATCACTGTTAATGCCACACCATCACTGTTACTGCCACACCATCACTGTTACTACCACACCATCACTGTTTCTGCCACACCATCACTGTTACTGCCACACCACCACTGTTTCTGCCACACCATCACTGTTACTGCCACACCATCATTGTTACTGTCACACCATCACTGTTACTGTCACACCACCACTGTTTCTGTCACACCATCACTGTTACTACCACACCATCACTGTTACTGCCACACCATCATTGTTACTGTCACACCATCACTGTTACTGCCACACCATCACTGTTACTACCACACCATCACTGTTACTACCACACCACCACTGTTACTGCTACACCATCACTGTTACTGCCACACCACCACTGTTACTGCCACACCATCACTGTTACTGCCACACCATCACTGTTACTGCCACACCATCACTGTTACTGCCACACCATCACTGTTACTACCACACCACCACTGTTACTGCCACACCATCACTGTTACTGCCACACCATCACTGTTACTACCACACCACCACTGTTACTGCCACACCATCACTGTTACTACCACACCACCACTGTTACTGCTACACCATCATTGTTAATACCACACCATCACTGTTACTGCCACACCATCACTGTTACTGCCACACCATCACTGTTAATGCCACACCATCACTGTTACTGCCACACCATCACTGTTACTACCACACCACCACTGATACTGCCACACCATCACTGTTACTACTACACCATTATTGTTACCACCACATCATCACTTGCCACCACCCAACACTGTTACTACCACCCCCATCACTGTTATTACAACTTGAACACTATTACCACCACACCATCACTGTCACTACCACACCATCACCGATACTATCACTCCATCACTATTACCACCACACCATCACTGTCACTACCACACCATCACTGATACTATCACACCATTACTATCACCACCACACCATCACTGTCACACCATCACTGATACTACCGTACCAACACTGTTACCACCACACTCGCACTATAACACCATAATTATTACCATCTCCCCCACATCTCTCACTCTTACAACGCCATATATAGTGTACCGAGAAGCACACTTGGCAGAAATGAAGTGCTTTCCTGCTCAGCACACCTGGAGCAACAGAGTCCGCGGGAGTCTTGTGAGTGTAGCAGCAATCAGCAGTCGTCTAGTGCGCCATAGATAGTAGATTAAAAACAGCTAAGTAACCATTTTTCAATACAAAAAATACGTCAGTCAGAGGTCCTGTTATCGTTAATAATCTGAAAAGCAATGATCGAAGCTTTAAATGCAGATTAGAAACTCATTTTTTTTATCACAGTGGGTACGGCACATACGACTTTTGAGTCGTATGAGCTGTCTCTTATGCTTTAGACTTGTCAAGTCGGTGTTTATAATTTAATATGTATGCCATATTTATTTTGTGTGCATTAGTGGGAAAAAGTTTCTGAGGGACATGATAGACTCTCAAACTGAAGCCATTGCTCGTTTGGCTAAGGATTTGTGAGTTAGTTTCAAAACCAATATATGCATCAAAATTGTATTCCCAGTTTTGGTTAGTTTAGATTAATTAACAGAAGATTACAGTGAGCCCAAGCTTCTGCAGAGTAAACAGTGTACAATTATGGTCTACTATTTTTTTTTTTGCTTCACTTGTTTCATAAAGTTGCTAGGATTTGATCACAGTGCTGTAGGTAACTGTGCTGTATATGGTTATGTGTTAGATAAGTAAGACACTATACTCTAACTGTAAGGCAATCTACTCTGATTACAGGACACTATACTCTGATTGTAAGGCAATCTACTCTGATTACAGGTCATTATACTCTGATTGCAAGACAATATACTCTGATTACAGGTCATTATACACTGATTGCAAGGCATTCTACTCTGATAGCAGGACACTATACTCTGATTGCAAGGCACTCTACTCTGATTGCAAAACACTATACTCAGATTGCACTGAACTCTACGCTCATTACAAGACACTCAACTCTGATTGCAGGACACTATATGTATTGCAAGGACATTCTATTCTGATTACAAGGCACTTTATTATGATTCCAATTTACCCAATCTAACTAAAGGCAACAATTCCTGATTAGAGCCTGTTAATTGAGCATTAGAAGACAAACAAACAAACAAACAAACACAAACAATCATCAAAAGAAAATAACTATACAACCATTACCAAGCTTCTAAATTATCAATAAGATAAGATAAGATTAGATATTTATTCAGGTTAATGTACATACATTGAATAAATATTTTTCTAAGTAAATATGACACATAAAATACATAATAATAATATTAAAAATTCATATACATATATAAATTCTTATCCACATTCATATAGATAAGTCTAACAAAAATAAAATCGTTTTAAGGGTCTATCAACACCCCTCAAACCAGTTACTAACTTAAGTGATTATATAATATAATTTAATATAATTTCTAACTTTATCAAAGATAACACTAGTTGTAACATATGAGCTAATTTGAATATCACATATTGCTAATTTAGTTGTAATTCCGTCTAACTATAACTTTTAACTTAAATGGTGCATTTGGGATGAATTTTCATTAGATTTTGTAAATAATATTTGTAGAGAATATGTATAATGAAGAATAATGTGAACAATATCATGAAAATAGAAGACAGCTATACTATGGAGGGGGTTAAACGGCATCAATTTTCGATTGTCATTATATTCTTAAATGAAACTATATTTTTAGCTGTCGTTATATTCTTAACTGTCGATATACTCTTAACGGTCATTATATTCTTAATTTTCGTCACTGTCATTATATTATGATACTAACATTAAGTTCATAATATCCATGGGGAGGAGACGCAGCCATATGCTCGAGGGAGTGTCCCATCGCCGGCGCCCCCAAGCTCTTCTACCAGGAAGGAAAGACCTACACCTACGGGTACTCCGGCGAGTCCAAGGTCCAGCTGAAGGGTGTGGAAGGTGGACACACAGAGAGGGACTGGTCAGCACAAGTTGAACTGTCATGGATCACTCCCTGTGACATGGTCATCTCCTTGAAGCTGTCTAAGACGGATGGCGTCATTGGTGAGTGTGATGATGGTAGCCTATTTATTATGTTTTTATGTTTCTTTTAGATATAGTTTGTATCGTTGACCATCGGGGTCAACTCACAGTTATGTGGTGCCTCCCTACAAGATTCAGCATGTTGACAAATGCGGAATTAACTATTGCAGCCTTCCAAAACCCATCCTTTGACAGCCAAACGTTGTCACTAGGTGTAGTAAATGATCTCATACTGGCATAGATGTAGCCCCTACTGGTTCTTCCAATTCTTAGTCTAGCCTAACGTTGTCACTAGGTGTAGTAACTGCTAGTGCTCTCCCAGGACCAAATCTAGGCAACGCCCTGGAGAGGTACCCGCTGGTGGTGGCGGTGGCCGACGGCCGGGTTCAACAAGTGTGTACTTTTCCTGACGACGACGCCTGGTCCATCAACATCAAGAAGGGCATCGCTTCAGCCTTCCAGAACTCTCTCCCTTCTAATTCAACAACTAATTCGGGACTAAGTATTACTGAGGTGTAAAATATTTCTTACTTTTTCTCATATGAGGCTCGTTGTTCGTGTGAATCATTCACCTGCACTTTATTCACATTATTCAGTATTCCACATATTATCAGGATATATATCACGTAATGATGGCCAGCAGTAATACTGCAGTTACATATTAACAATGTATTCACAAAATATGTGTGTGTGTAGTTACCTAAGTGTAGTTACAGGATGAGAGGTACGTTCGTGGTGTCCCGTCTTCCCAGTATTCTTTGTCCAATAACGCATTTAAACTACTGACGGTTTTGGCCTCCACCATTCTCACTTAATTGTTCCAACCGTCTACAACTCTGTTTGCAAAGGTGTGTGCGTGCGTGCGTGCGTGTGTCTGCTATTGAATATGAGAGGAAGGGTTAGATCCACGATCCTAGCATGATTCTTCTCTATATTTATTTTGGTTTTCACTTTCATTTCCACAAAGTTCATTCAATAATTTATTAGTCCCGATACGTGTTGCCAAATGACGTGTTTCCTTTAAACTCAACATCTTCAGAGGCAGAGTAAAAAGTAGATACAAGTTAGCAAAAGTAACTATGTATTCCATGTATGTCAGGTCTTACCCAGTCGATGCCAGCTGGGACAGTATGTAATTATCAAAATAAAGCAACAGGCTCAAAAGACAATCTAGCTCCAATTGCCTGAGGCAGTAGGTGTGGTAGGATGGTCCTAAGTGCAGGCTGGCTCTTAACAGTTGATCGAGTGTATTTGAAATGTAGTGCTTCGGCTATTTCTAATCTTCTGTTGTCGTTGGAACAGTTGATTGTTTTGGTGATAGTTACGACCCTGGGTTCATGCTCAAAATAGAACTGTGTGGAGCAAAACGCATCGATAACCCCTATCACCAACTCTTCCTGCATCATGAGAGCCGTTGAAAAGACGCTTCCGACGATAAGGAACCTTTCATGAGTGTATTTTTTTATTTCATTATTATCTGGATATATTTCACTCGAGGCAGTTCCAGAGTTGAAGTCTCTATCAATATTGATATTAGCAAGATGATATATATTCAATGTTAGGTTTTGTATATTAGCAGTAGTTACATATTATTCAATCAACATATCGGATTAGGCTGTTGATGAGTGGTGGATAATTTGTGGAGTGCTAAATTTTTAGCACAGTTGGTCTGAGAATGTTGCATGATTGAAGCTTTGCAAAGACTGTTCCTATAGCTCTCTAAACCCATGCCTGGCATTAAGAAATGTGTCGAGTGAATCAGCTGTTTTGTGTATTATACCGTTCAGCTAAGAGAAGAACTTGCAGGCATGGGCTTAAGGCATGAGCCAGATCTACCTAAATAGATAATACTAAAGGCTTCTGCGTCGTTATCTCCCGCCAGAGCGTGTATTTCTGTCTGGTGGAGAAAGTCTCTCGTCCTAGCGTGTCTACTTCTGCAGCTACAGCTCTGCAAAACACTCCATCTAGGTCATCATTTCGGCTATGATGTCCTCTATAAAAGTAGAGGTGCCGCCTCCAGCAACCCGTTGAAATTGTCGATCATAGTGAGGCTATATGTCTCTCATCATCATGGAAAAATGCGGTCCATTACAGTAGGCCATGGTGTACATGGTAAAAGATGCAGTGGGACCGGGAAGCGGCCCAGGGTTGGAGAAGAGGCCAGCAGTCTTAGCAAGCTGGTACTGGAGGGATTTGACCCCAATAAAGATGTCGCGCCTCATTCATGGCCCCACGTAGCGATCTCCTACCAGGTGTGTCCCCACCCTGGAATCCGGGTGGAAGATGCCGGGAAGGGTGTCGAAGGTCCTACCAGGAAACGCTATACCCGCTTGATGGGGTTCTGGGAGTTGTTCTACTCCCCAAGCCCGGCCCGAGGCCAGGCTTGACTTGTGAGAGTTTGGTCCACCAGGCTGTTGCTTGGAACGGCCCGCAGGTCCACATACCCACCACAGCCCGGTTGGTCCGTCACTTCTTGAAGAAAATGATCTAGTTTTCTCTTGAAGATGTCCACGGTTGTTCCGGCAATATTTCTTATACTTGTGGTATGAGGATGCGTTTTGTCCGTGGAAACATAAGGGGTAAGATGGCCGTAGTATGTCCACCAGCACGAGCCCTGATAAGCGGAGGTATAGAGAGCTCGTATTCCTGTTGGACTGCCGCTAATTCTCAGTTCGAGGTTAGATCTGCAGTTGTTACAGAACAGGTAGTGTCTGCTGATGGGAAGACTGACACTACGAGTACGTCCGAAGGCTGCAGGAGTAAGGAGATCCCTTCTTCCAGTGCGCAGCTACTTTAAGGATGATTGATTGATGAAGATTAAATCATCCAAGAGGTGACACGGGCATGAATAGCCCGTAGTGTAAGGAACGTTGTTGTTGTTTAAGATTTAGCTACTGGGGACAAAACGTTCCAAGTAGCACGGGCTATGGTGAGCCCGTAGTGGACTTACCTGGCATAGGACCAGGGCTTGTGTGGGGTAAGGAACGTTGTTGTTGTTGTTATAGATTCAGCTACTCGGAACAAGTTCCAAGTAGCACGGGCTATGGTGAGCCCGTAGATATCCCCGGCAGGTGTGAGGGGGAGAGAGGGGGGCGGAGATAATGGGAACACCACACCCTCCCCCCCCCCATATATTACTTCCTAAGGAATAGTTCTTTGAAAATTTTGTAATATCAGTTTCAGAAAGAAATTTGTTAAACATAACAGCACCGCAAAGCACGTATTGTTATCTATTTAAAACTAATTATATAATTTTTAAAGTAATATTTGTAGCTTGCGATAACAAAAATAAATTTACATTAACTTTCATATTAAAATCAATGCCATAATGGACACTTTTTTCAGATAACTTAATAACGTCGCACTGCGCAAAAAATTCTAGTAAACATCCATTTTTCACGTTTCTCAACAGACAGACGTGGTAGGAACGTGCCCAACGAGGTACGAGGTGCAGAACCATGGAGACAGAGTCATTGTGAAGAAGGAGAAGAACCACCGCCTGTGTAAGCAGCGTTACCCGACCCCTGCTGAGACCCAGGTTCCCTGGCTCAAAGGTCCTCTGCCGCTGGAAGAGTCCCGCTCTGTGTGTAAACAAGAGATCAGGAACGGAATCTACTCCAGCATCACCTGTGAGGATAAGAACGTGGTCAGACCCAGCTATGGTGCCTATAAGTATATTGAAGCCAGACAGGAGTCCACTCTGAGATACATCTCAGAATCCAACGACCAATCAGGTGCCGCCTCTGCCATCCCTCAAGCTAACATGGAACGCAAGAGTCTCCGGTATGACCACGATACCCTCAAGAAGGACCCGTCCATGGTGGCCCAGTTGGACCAGACCATGAGTCAGATCTGTGAGAAGACTAAAGATGCCGTTGAGCGTGACGTTGCTGCTCTGGTAGCCTTGGCTTTACATCTCTTGCGCCGGGTACCAGAGGATGCTGTAGAACAGACTTTGGTTAAAATCCGCAATGGAAGTTACTGTGAAGATTGGAGAAAACTCGAAAACCTTTTTTTAGACGTTGTTTCCTTCGTGCACGAGGTCGGTGCCGTAAAGGTTATGGTAAGCCAACTGGTGAGTGGGCAGGCCACCGGAGGTCGTGCTGCCCTCTACACTGCGGGCCTCTACCTACATACCCGCCCCACCTCTAGTGACATTGAAGCTCTCGTACCAGTCTTTGAATCCCGACTAAGTCTGCCATTTGTGACTCTGGCTGCAGCCTCTATGGTGAAGGCCTATTGTCATGACAGTTCCCTGTGTGATAACGTAACATCTGTAAGGACAATTGTTCAAGCACTAAACAATAAAATTCAAAGCCAATGTTCGCCTCTGAGTGACGAAGACACACAAAATGAAGCTCTCGCCTCACTTAAGGTCTTGGGTAACATGGGCTTGATGACTCCTGAGGAAGCCACGTCAGTTATCAGGTGTATGAAGACTGAAGGAGTGCTGACGAGTGTTCGCGTGGCCGCCGCTCAGGCCTTCAGACAGTCACAGTGTGCGCCCTCCGTAAGTATTGGTATTGATCACATCACCCACATTGACTGTAGATTCACAAAACAGTACATTAGAAATTATTCATTTTAAATCATTGCTGATCATGAACAATATACATTTCGCGTTCCTCTTCTTCATCAGACTACCGAGCAGCTCATCAAAATTGCGATTGATTCTACTTCAAACACAGAAGTTCGAATTGCTGCCTACCTCGCAGCGATCCGGTGCGTCCAGGAAGGCGACTTGGAGACCATTCTTGCTAGCCTGGCGGGAAGCGAGGATACACAGGGTAATGTCTCACATCCCTCAAGTAAACAAAAGCTTAAACAAAATATATGTTAAATAGTGCTCATAGTTTTTATTTATTTATTAGGATTTCTGAGTGTTTAATTCCTCCATCCTTCCCTGTATAAACTGAGACTCAATAACTTGCATTATTGAGGCTCATTTAATTCACTGGGATCGTCGGAGCCTGGAACAAAAGCGAGAGCCAATCGCGCTACTGGCAGTACTCTGAACATTCACAGTAAGGAAGGATATCATACTTACCTGACTGGTATTCAAATGACTAAACTTTCCCAGGAGTGCTACTGAGTAACGAGGTATTTAGGTCTCCGGGTGAAGGATGAGGGAAGCCTAAATACTTAGTAACTCAGTAGCACTCCAGGGAAGGTTTAAAGTCTCAGTTAGGTACCTCAGAGATTCTTCCTCATTACGAGTGCTCATAGTACAGTCGGTAGAACGATGGGCTTGAGCTTTTTCAACCCTAATTCAAGATATCTATACATATGCATCCACATACACGCACACATATATATATAGAGAGAGGATATGCACACTGCATCCATGGCTCCTGCCCGCCATCTGAGGAGCTGGAGGAACAAGACAACCTGTGACAAGTAGTCTTGTACCAGGCATGTAACCAATGTTATGACCCCTTTTTGTGTAATAAAATTTTAAATAAAATAAAACGCAAAATACAAAAAATATAGGGGGTGGTAGGAGAAGACAATATGTGAGAAATTTTAAATCGATAATGATATTACTGCAAGTCATGAACCAAGAGTGAGTGCCTGCTTACCTTACATTTCAGTTCGTGGGTTCATACTGAGTCACCTGGTGAACCTCCAGGAGACCAACTCTCCGCACAAGGGACACCTCCGATACCTCCTGACCAACATTCTCCTTCCCAGAGACTTCGAGACTGACGTGAGGAAATATTCTCGCAACATAGACGTGTCATACTTCTCCTCGTCCCTGGGTGCTGGTGCCGGCGTGGAGTCCAACATCATCTACTCTCCGGGATCCTTTGTCCCTCGCTCTGTTGACTTCAACCTCACCGCCGCGTCAGGCGAGGCTCTTATGGACATTGGCGAAGTTGGCGTACGCCTTGAGGGTTTAGATCCGATGCTTGAGAAGGCCTTCGGACCTAGAGGTTACCTAAGAAGAACTAGTCCGGCTAAAATGTTTAATTATATTCTTAATTTCCTGGAAAAAGAGGGTAAGGAGATCATTGATAATATCCGGAGAATGCTAAGAGAAGATGAGCAAATTGATATGGCTTCATTAACCGATTTTTGGGATGAAATTTATTGTTGTGGTGGACCTGACGTTGTTCGTGCTGATATATTTGCTCGCTTTATGGGACAAGAAATATATTTCTCTTCTTTGTCTGGCAACTTGGACGACATAGCTGCAAGTGGAATAGGCAGAACGATCGGCTCGTATATTACACAGATTCTTCACCAAATTAAAAATGTACATGTTACTTCTACAAGAACTGCTCAGTTATACCTGGATTACTCCTTCCCCACCATTCAAGGGACACCATTCAAATTCAAACTAGAAGGTACAGCCGTTACTGGACTTCAGTTGGAAGGATCTCTGAACATATTAGATTTATTTTTTAACTTCAGAAACGGGCAGAACGTTCTCAAAATCCTCCCAAGCCTGTCTGTACAAATAGACAATTTTATTGGCTTTGACGATTACCTCAGTCAGACAGGCATCAAGACGAACTCCACCATCTCGACTAGCAACGGTTTCTCTCTCAGCGTCAAGGCCAAGAATAAGTATGAGCTGGTAATTCAGTGGGACCTTCCTGAGAAGATGGAAGTTATTAATGTGAAGAGTGAGACATACCTCATGATGAGTGAGAGAGGCAGACCAGAGACCAAGGTCATCCCACAATCCATGAAGGACACCAGGATCAGGACCCATTCATGTATCAACAGTCTTGAACCCGCGCTAGGTCTCAAGTTCTGTTATGAACTGGACACCCCGGATGTCTTCCGTAGCAACTCTCTGCCACTTGGGGCCCCGGCCATTGCCAAGCTATACGTCGAGAAGGAAGAGCCATCCATAATAGGTTATAATATTACATATCTTAATAAAAGAAAGGAGACTAGCCAATATATTTTATTGAAAATAGATACCCTCGGATCTTCTAAACCTAGAGAAGCTGAATTACTTATCTCGTTCTCCAAACAAGGCTATTCTGTCTCGATCTCCGCCAGTTTTGACTCTCTGACTTTCAGTAGTGGAGTCTGGATCACAATTATCAATAGTGAAGATTATAAGGCCATCCTGGTTTACACAAAATTCAGGAACGCTCAAACGGAACTAACACGGGGACTTAAAGTAGATTTCAGGACAAAGTCATCGCTGAGTGACAAAGAGTATGAACTAAATGTCTTCAGCAGCCCGCTAAAAAACTTTCCCCTCGCCTCCAAAGTCGTGGAAATGAAGCTCGCCAAGACAATCAATCGTCCCGAAGTTTCTATGGATTTTCTCTGCGGAACAAGAAATTATTTAAGAAATTATTTCGACTTGAATTTTGAAGGTTCTATTTTCTTTTTGTCCATGCATACCCGGCTGAAAATTTAGTTGGCTGCTTTTACATGATTATACAACAATTGTATACTGCAATAATACTTTACGTGAATATTGCCTGAGAGTACACTAAACCGTTTGTTTACAGTGGTCGTAGACGTGAAGGACGCCCAGTACCTCAACGTGTCTCTACCTACGAGGCTCCGCAAGCTAGAGTTTCACAGCGGTCTTAGAGACTGGCAAGTGAACGCCTTCATCCTGCAGACGAGAGAGTCAGGCGAGAACACCCAGCACTCCTCAGCCTTCAGAATAACCCGAAGGAGGAAGGAAGTGATCGCGGTTGAGGCCACCCACACTACACAAGGAAATCTTTACGATAACTTCATCATTAGAACTACAGCTTTAGGTGAGTAATTAATTATCATTGTCACATCAGAAATCAGGAGTTTCCCCTCGTAAAAAAATAGTGAATTAGAAATAATGAATTAGAATTAGAAACAGAGAAAGGAACGACCTCTTAAGTTATCTGGCAATACTTTTCATTTGCAAGTTTAGGACATTAGTTATATTTTGGTTGAATCTCAACATGTACTGGAGCCAATCCGGGCAGAGCCTTCATAAAACTGGAAGAACGGTTAAACTTTTATCTTCAACTGTCCATTAAAGGTGGTGAAGGGTAGGCAAGATGGCGAAGGGTAGGGAAGGTGGTAAAGGATAGGGAAAGTAGTGAAGGGTAGGGAAGGTGGTGAAGGGTAGGGAAGGTAGTGAAGGGTAGGGAAGGTGGTGAAGGGTAGTGAAGGGTAGGGAAGGTGGTGAAGGGTAGGGAAGGTAGTGAAGGGTAGGGAAGGTGGTGAAGGGTAGGGAAGGTGGTGAAGGGTAGGGAAGGTAGTGAAGGGTAGGGAAGGTAGTGAAGGGTAGGGAGGGTAAGGTGGTGAAGGGTAGGGAACGTGGTGAAGGGTAGGGAAGGTGGTGAAGGGTAGGGAAAATGGCGAAGGATAGGGAAGGTGGTGAAGGGTAGGGAAGGTGGTGAAGGGTAGGGAAGGTAGTGAAGGGTAGGGAAGGTGGTGAAGGGTAGGGAAGGTAGTGAAGGGTAGGGAAGGTAGTGAAGGGTAGTGAAGGGTAGGGAAGGTGGTGAAGGGTAGGGAACGTGGTGAAGGGTAGGGAAGGTGGTGAAGGGTAGGGAAGATGGCGAAGGATAGGGAAGGTGGTAAAGGATAAGGAAAGTTGGTAAGTGTGGGGTTTTCTATTTTGCTTTCCCGACTGCAATGCGTACGTCGCCAATGTACATGTGGCAGACGCTTCACGAAGCTGTCGGAATCAGCAGAGAAAATACGAGAGCAACCGTACAGGGCCTGGGAGCAAGGTCGAGTTAGAGTCCTTGAGGGTCTCTTCTCAGACTAGCCTCACCTGGTCCTGGTCCACGTTGATCGTTGGAATCTCCTCAATGCTTGAAACACTGTAAGGGACTCCTAGGCTCCTCATCACATTTATAGATTAGTGAATTAGGCAACTCGGTGTTGGAGACACCTGGAGCTGAAGGCTTGAGTAAATAGTTGGCAGTATTCAGAAGTGGTTCAACGGAAACACCGCATAAAGCTTAACAGTAGTTTATTTACTAACTTAACCACTAATACAAAGGGTGCTTGATTTACTTTAGATTGGTGTCAGAAAGGCTATGGTTGCATTAGCGAGACTCTTGACGTCTGGCTAATCGACTCGGATCCACTCGTGGCGAAACACCAAACTTAACACAGTTGACAGCCAATCATTAACACGGTAAACCTAACTGCCGGTATGCAAAGGGATTACAAGAGTTCCAACCGGATACTCGGGTACTGATGATATGCAATAACTCTCAAATACACTGTCAATGGGACAGGCAATAACATGCACAATAATAATATCACACAATACTAAATGTGTGGTGTATGTGAAACTCACATTCACAGACGAGTGTAATGTCGTGATACCACACAGATAAACACGCATACACCGTCGGGTGTCTTCACCTATACCTGTGTCAGGTATGAGAAGGTGAGAACTGTGGTTGATGCCTCAGATCAACACAGACACAATAAAACAATGACAAGATCTTGTACTTACAGGTGGGGTACCTCTCTTATTCTATCACTCACTCAGACACATTTATGCAAGAACTCGTAGGTGGCCTGACAGCTGGGCGCTCGTTCTAACGTGAGACCATTGGCGACAGGCTTTCCCACAAACCGTACTTGACACGGGGTACTCGCAGGAGGGCACGCTGTATGTCAACAGACACACGCACACACTCTGGCACTGGCAGTGAGTAAGGGTGGTGACGTCACGTAGTACCGTGAGGCAGGGCGGCTGGCGGCTCGAGGTACCGAGGTACTTAGGTACTAGCTACACGCTCTGGACAGTGGTGGCTGCAGGTTATATGGTTCCATGCAGGTACACTGTGGTAAAGTCACACACAGGTTACTTAGGCGGTGGCACTGCCTTAGTTCACCCTAGGTCACTCACAATGATCTCAACTTGTCACCAGGGGCCTCGTAGCCTGGTGGATAGCGCGCAGGACTCGTAATTCTGTGGCGCGGGTTCGATTCCCGCACGAGGCAGAAACAAATGGGCAAAGTTTCTTCATCCTGAATGCCCCTGTTACCTAGCAGTAAATAGGTACCCGGGAGTTAGTCAGCTGTCACGGGCTGCTTCCTGGGGGTGGAGGCCTGGTCGAGGACCGGGCCGCGGGGACACTAAAGCCCCGAAATCATCTCAAGATAACCTCAAGATAACCTCAAGGGGTTACCTGATACCAGTCTGTTTTGCTCTGGCGATTTGTCACTAGGCTTCTAAACAGTATATTCACAGTTGCGATTCCGGGCGAGTGTTGGTATATCGAAAAGACGCTGAGTTTAACTTGACGGTGAGGAATAGACGGTGTTCTTCTGTCTATTGGCCGATAGACAGAACAGGACACGTCCTCTATGCAAGGGCTCCCTCACGTGAATGCTCTTGCCAGCGGCTGTAGGGCATCTCGTGGGACACAACACAAGAGATTACAATTGACCAATGGCATGGCAGCAAAAGAGCGGGAACCAATCATATTGATCGTTCCCTGATCAGTAGCAGAGATGACGTCATGAACACGTTACGACTACGTCACAGTTGTTATTCTCCATCGCACCGGTTGAGGCTGACCCCAGAGGTCAGTCGCCTCGCTGGCGTCTCCTCTCCCTCTCTCACGCTGGCACCTCCTATGTACTCACTGACCCTTTGTGGCAAGTATGCTTAACTTCCCTATATCTACTTCCTGCCTGGACATACGGCAGCCTCCATTTTATAAACGTATTCCTGGTTAAGTGGACATCCTGGAGATACCCAACACGCCAGTTTACTATCCAGGGTTAACAGAGATAGGGCTTGTGCACGATATCGGTGCACTGTGCACTGCAATGAGCCATTCAAGTCAGCTGTGGGAGAATCTTGAGAGCATTCTCTCACAGTAAGAGTAGGGAAGGTGGTGAAGGGTAGGAAAGGTGGTGAAGGGTGGGGAAGATGGTGAAGGGTAGGGAAGGTGGTGAAGGATAGGGAAGGCAGAGAATGCTCTCTCTCTCTCTCTCTCTCTCTCAATTAAAAAGTGTTTAATTGTATGAAAATATAGTACCCTTAAATCTGATCATGTAGGGAATATTTGATGAGCTTGAGACTAACTTTCAGTTAAGGTGAGTCACACACAGTACAAGGCTGCCACGACGGTGCAGAACGGTGGGGACACGACGGGCGTCTCCGTGCACCTGACCCGCGCCGGAGACAAAGCCAAGCTGGCCACGCTGGAAGCCTTGCACACCTACTCTGGCAAGCCCTATGGCATCATTCTCCTGGTAGGTCTCTGATGGTATTAATATTAGGCACGGACTCCTTTGATTGGTTATACCAACATTTGTCAAGACTCCAGTGCATATTGTTCTCATATATCATTATGGATTTTGTCAATCTATCTATCTATCTATCTATCTATCTATCTATCTATCTATCTATCTATCTATCTATCTATCTATCTATCTATCTATCTATCTCTATCTATCTATCACACAATGGTTAATTTACGAAGAATTTTTTTTGTCTCAGGTGGACATTCCGAGGTACATGGAACCCATTGAGTTCGAGTTTACGACCGCGATAACAGAGGAAAATATACTCCAGCTGAAGTTCGGTCTGACGTATGGCAACCAGGTCATCCTTCGAGTATTTGGTCCCGTCACGTTTGAAACCTCTTCAGCCTTTTTCAAGTTTAAAGCAGCGATAACAGTCATCACAGCGGTCAGTGGACGCCATTTTGTGTCTGCCGTCGTCAACATCGCCAACAACACACAAGGGCTATCATTTACCTGTAAAAGACATCGGCGGGTGATCGTGAGCGTGGACTGCAGCGCGGTGACAGTCACCCGCCAGGAGACGGTCACGGCGGCCCGGGTCATGCTCCCTGGCTTTGTTGACTTCACCACCGACATCATCACCAACGACCGCTTCGTATACATCACCCTCAATGGTCAGCTGTCCTTGGCCAACTCGTACCCTCATAGATTGAGAGGCTACACCAACGTCGACTTGGAGAACATGAACGCCAAGGTGGACATCTCGTGGGATGCGGACCATGAACCTGACAAGAAAATCAACGTGGACGTTATGGTTGTCATAGCGGCCGGCCGCCCGAGCAGGCTGTACCTACAGTAAGTGAGACTCCATCACGAAGGCAGCCATATTTGTTTAATATTACTAATTCTCAGTGTATATATATATATATATATATATATATATATATATATATATATATATATATATATATATATATATATATATATATATATGCGAACAAGCCTGAATGGTCCCCAGGACTATATGCGAATGAAAACTCACAGTTTTCAGAAGTGACTCGAACCCATACTCCCAGAAGCAACGCAACTGGTAACTACAGGGCGCCTTAATCGATTAAGGCGCCCTGTAGTTACCAGTTGCGTTGCTTCTGGGGTAGTATGGGTTCGAGTCACTTCTGGGGTGTGAGTTTTCATATATATATATATATATATATATATATATATATATATATATATATATATATATATATATATATATATATATATATATATAATAATATAATAATAATAATAATGTGAGTGGACAAATGCTGTGTTAAATATTGTATGTTCAATGATTTTACATTAGTGATGGAATGTTCTCAGTAGCAGAAAACTTGAACGGTAAAAGTTGTTATTTAAATGACTCAGAAGTTTAAAGTGAAACATATATCAAAGTCAATAACCTGAAAAGTGAATACACCTGTAGGATGTATCAACTACTAATTTTAGGCCTACTTATTTAATCAACCAAAGACTTGTTTAAATACAAATTTTGTTTTTCAACTATCTCTACTTCAATATTGACCTTGAGAACTCTGGCCAGCGTGACACTCTGCAAAACTTGTAAATAGATGTACAATATTGAGTTAAATACAAGTAAAGTGTGTGGCTCAAGTTCAAGTTCAAGTATGTTTATTGAGATAAGCAATAAATACATCTCAAAGGGATAGAGTAGCTTAGGCTATTTCTACCCCCCAAGTGTGTGGCGTAACCTCAGAACCATTATAATCGTATTAATCTGCTTATTTCCCGGTGACATTGTACAGAGGAGACGTGGAGTACCAGAGCATTACCTACCCCGTGGTCCTGGAGGCCTCGGTGGCCAACCTCCTCCGCCAACGCTATGAAGACTGTACCTTAACCCTCGTGATCCGAGCCCCGGAGAACAAGAATTTATCCTTGGAAATTACAAACGCTTTCCAACATCATGCGTCCTCAGCCTCCATAGACACAGGCCTCCACTACAAGAGTATGCAGGACAAGGAGTACGCGTTCGCGAGTCACACCTATTTGGAGAGGTTTAAGGCCCCGTTCAGTTTTATGTACACCTTTCATGCGGGCTTCACATCGCCAAGAGGACAAACAGCGAGTGTGAGATTGGAAGCCAAGCACAGGTACACCCCCGCGGAGCGAGTCGCATACATCCAGGTAAGAATTTGTCCTCGAAGTGAACAATTCTGTACTACCTTATACAGTTTTGTAATGTGTTTAGGCTCGTGTATGAAAGGTGGAATTTGAAAGAATTGGGTTTAACCGTGTGATCGTCTTGGCGTTGGTAGACTTGGAAAAATGGAATTTGTATCTTCTTGAAAGAAAGTTAGTCCTCTTGAATGAATGATTGGGGTTTACTGTATGATTTAATATTTTAAGTTTCTAAGGTCAGCTGTGCCTTTTTTTCAAGAATTATCATCCCCGTAGACCTCAGTCTGTCATATTCAGCAACCATCTCTGTGGCCTTTGAAATTAAATTCTGATATTCATATTAGTTTCTCAAATTTGGATAAGGAATCTTTATAAGTGACTTAAAAACTAGTAAAAACACTCAAACTTAATACTTTGCATAAATGCTTTAGTATGGGATAATACCACATGTTTAAAAATGATTTAAATTAATTATGTTAAATGTATAATAACAAGATTTAGTTTAAAATTTGTTAATAATATCTATAGATATGTAAAATCCTGTTAATTATAAAGATTTATAATCAGAATCCAATTTTCATAAATGTGAATAGCGATCTAAGGGTTATATAAGGGGTTATGTTTTGGGATATTTAGCTAAACAGGTGTAAATGAATGGTTGGAGACCACAGTTAATGGGAAGAATTTTCAGGATTAGATCTTAGAAGAGAGAGCGGAAGTGGTGATCAAACTTAAACTCACCTTCAACTTTTTGTACCACAAATTTTGAGTGTTAGTCAACAAAATTTGCTGATATTCTTATGTATATAATTTCTATTACTTTTGAATTTATTATTGTCGTTATTAATGCATATTTGTAGCTTAATGAAACAATTGTCGTGTTATATAGAGCCAAACTTTCTTTCAGGGAAGTGTTTCTTTTCCTGCAATGAAGGAGCCATTGAAGTTGGAATTCAAATCCAACCAAACTGAAAACCTCTACAGCTTAGGATGGATAGCAGAGGCAAATTTTCCAGCCACCATGTATAACATTGAACTTTTGTTAGGCCCTGGAGGGTCTATCAGATCCTTTAATTCGTTTCTAAATGTCACTGCTATCAAGGATTTTACCGACGCCGTGGTCAAGTTGCTGGAAGTCGAAATGTGGTGCTTTGGTAAATTTTGTGATATAGATAGCAATGCAATTTATATATATCACTACCGTTTCCACAAGCCAACACCCATCACATATTCCATGATATTCAAGTCTCCATCCCGCACTATGGAGGGGGAAGCTGAGTATTCTCCTTCACAGTCAAGTCTCAAGTTCTATCCTAACAGGGATCACAGTGAAGATAAATACCAGATCGCCACCACATCCTCCCACAGCAACTGGGATCAGGAGTCCAAGTACGAGGGTCGCATCAGTCACCCAGTTCTAACCAAAGACATGCTAGTTGAGGTTCAGTTTTCGAGCGGTGGAGGGAACCTCACAGGCTCCATCGAACTGGACATCTTCCCAGATACAGCGGACAAAATAACAGGTACTCTTCAGTCATCCATGATCGCCAATAACACCGTCTTGATTGAGGCACTGTTCACCTCCAGGGTGAGTATATCTGTGTGTGTGCAGCTGTTGATGAACACGCAGGCAACATGTAAACATATATAATAATAATAATAATAATAATAATAATTTTTATTTAGGTAAGGTACATACATAAAGAGATTTTACAAAGTTTGTTATATATATAGTTATATTATATATATATTATATATATATCATGTTACTGGTGGGCCTTTAACAGGATGTACTCATGTGTTGGAACTACCTACTTGTTTATGGCTTAACATATGCGTCTGGGAAACTGTGCGGAGATTCACCATCATTTGTTTTGTCTAATATTTACAAAGCTCTTTCATTTCAATAATAAGATTAATTTCAAATTATTTGTTTTGTGTTTCTAGATATTCAAAAATGGGTCGAAACTTATAGTGAAGATTGGCAGTACGCCACACACGACTGGATTCGACGTTATGTTACAGCGAAATGCCACTTCCGAAGTGTCCTTGCAAGTGTCGGCCAAGTACGACACAATCCCAGGCGGAGAGGCGACAGTGGCTTTCCAGGTGATCAACGACGAGGGTGCCGTGGTGGATGTTGCTGGCGTGATGGAGCGGGAGGAGGTTCCTGAGTGTAAAGGCCACAAGGTCAAAGCTGCGGTTATCACTTCCTTCCTCGGAAGTTACGATATGTACTTAAAAGTTGGCAGACCATTTTACTTCGAGATGACAACCGACGGCCACGGTAGCCTGAAGTCTTATACTATAAAGTTGGAGTTCCAGACGCTTAAAAACTTCGAGGCTACGCTATCCGTGCACCGTAAACTTCTACATGAGACACATCCTGTTGTTATGGCCCGTATTAAACCGCTCTCATTTAACTTGATCGATGTTGAGCTGGCCTACAAGAGAGACGAATATAAAATGATACAGGTAAACCTTTAAAGTCGCTTCTGTAACACTCACAAAATAATCACATAATATTACAAAAAAACTACATGTAGAGGTATTGCTGACAAAAACAGATTGATTTAGTAACATTTCCAAACTGCTATCTAACCCCTTTCTATTAAAAAACTTTTTATACACAACAGTGTGCACCTACCTTACTAACCTAAAGCAGCTTCGCACACAAACCTCTTACTTACCAAATACGAATTGATCATCAATATACAAATTGTATGTCCCTCTACTCACAACAATACGGTAAGTGAAGCAGATGATATTAATGATGTGAGCGTCGCTACAGGACACTGTGTTAGAGGAGTGTGTGTATGTCGTCAAGACATGGCTGGAGTGGAGCAACATGGAGTACCAGAGGCTGGTGCACGAAGCTCGCGCTCAAAACATAACCTTCCCGCCTGCGGAGCTCAGCACGCTGATGGGCAAGATCTTACTGGATATGTCAGAGATCTACCAAAACCTGAGAGAAGACGAGTTGACTCCCGCGTACGAGTTCTTCAGCAGGATTGTGGCTCATCCCGGTGTGACATACGCACGGGAGGTGGCCTACCGCACCGGGGTTGTCCTGCGGTGGGCGCTCAACCACCTCCCCAGACACAACCTCCAGCCTTACCGCGAACATATCAACTGGAGAAAAGAAACTAAGGGATTTAACTTCGTAGTTAAAGAAGGTAAGTAGAAATCGAATTGATATTATAATAAAAATAATCAAATAACTCGCTTCTCAAATCACTTTCCGAGAAGTGCCAGATATTTCGTGACTATTGACAACGATTTCCACTTGGACTTAACTCCATGCTAAGTTTGCTTTCTTTGAAATACCCACGCCCTAATCTAACTCAAGATAACCTCTAATACCATCTGCTTTTTTGTAATTTCTTATGAGTCTCACAAGAGACTCATTAGAAAGTCAAGGTACAGAATGCCGCTATCCTTTCCGCTATCAACTACTTTAAATGTACTGGAAAAAGAACTAGAGGAAATTTGTTAAACACGAGCAGCACGTAGTAAAACAATCTTGTTAATCGAAAAACATATAATCCATGTTTTTCCAGATGTAAACAAATGTCTTTTGTGAGGGCCGAATCAAGCAATGTTCCTACAGTATACGTTACGTACGATAATTCGACACAAACGTCGTCGTTTTCTTTATCTTCTGGTGTGTGGCTTGATCATCAATTCGACACAAACGTCGTCGTTTTCTTTATCTTCTGGTGTGTGGCTTGGTTATCAATTCGACACAAACGTCGTCGTTTTCTTTATCTTCTGGTGTGTGGCTTGGTCATCAATTCGACACAAACGTCGTCGTTTTCTTTGCCTTCTGGTGTGTGGCTTGGTCATCAATTCGACACAAGTCATCTATCTTCTTTCTTAAAAATTGATACCACATTAGCAACCCTCCATGACTCAGATACACTGTTCGATTCTAATAATTTATTAAATATGCAAGGCAGGGGTCTCGCTAAACTGTTTATTTACATTCCCTGGGAAACATCTAGTTTGGTCTTGGGGACATGTTAGGCATTAATTGTTCTATTTCTTTAATAACTTCCTGGAAACTACTAAACCAGTCAACTTGTCCTGTTCATCACCTACGTAGAGTTGTTTAGCTGTAAGCTTAATATAAATTTATTCTCTAGTATATACAGAGACAAAGTGCTTATTTAAAATACTAGCCATTTCTTTGTCTCATTAACAGTTACCTGAATTGTCTCAGTTTTCAGTGGCCCCAATCTTCCCCCAAATAGTAAAAGCGCTGTACATATCATACATATGTAATTTATTTCAATTATTATAATAACAGCTTCTAAGTGCTTAGATATAATCATTAACAAATGTTTGACAAAACACATTGCCAATCCCATGGTCTGGGAAATGCGCCCACAGCCGCGGTGAGGGTGATACGCGCCATCTTGCTGGTCGACGGCGGCGCCTGGGTGCGGCACCACCTCTTCCTGCTCAGACACTCCTCCATCTACGCCGCCCTCAAGAAGGAGGTCGATGCCATGATGAGGCACCATCCGCAGGAGTACGAGGCCATCCAGCAGGTCGTGGCGCAGGTGGAAGACGTCCTCGAGGCAGATCTGGACGACATACAGAAGCATCCCCTCGCTCTGGGCGTTGCCGTCTTGTTCTTCAGGAAGATTGATGAGGCGAGTAAGGACTTACGCGGGTGCTTTCTGATGGGAGGGCTGAGATAAGGGAAGGGAACTAAGTTTGATTATATGCTTATTTTGTGAGGCTAGTTGTATTTTTGAGGCTGGGTGTTTTTTATGAGGCTAGGTGTGTTTGTGAGTGGGTGTGTTTATGAGTGGGGGTGTGTGTGAGTGGGTGTGTTTGTGAGTGGGTGTGTTTGTGAGTGGGTGTGTTTGTGAGTGGGTGTATTTATGAGTGGGGGTGTGTGTGAGTGGGGGTGTTTGTGAGTGGGTGTGTTTATGAGTGGGGGTGTGTGTGAGTGGGTGTGTTTGTGAGTGGGTGTGTTTATGAGTGGGGGTGTGTGTGAGTGGGTGTGTGTGTGAGTGGGTGTGTTTGTGAGGTTGGGTCACGCCCGCCAGTATTTTAATATACTGGGCACAAGATACCAAACTTTCCCCTTGGCTTTCTTTATGTACTGTTTCGTTGAGCTTATCTTATAGTTTCTTGCAATTTTTAATTATTTTAATCGAATATTTGGGTAATATACGTTGATATAATAATAGAACATGCATAAAATACATTTATTTCTGTATAAGATTGGAGCGGTAAGCGGCTGCGCCCGGGTCTCTTTCCCCCCTCTCCCAATCTCCCGCCACTCCGCCTCTCCCAATCTTCCACCCCTCTTCCAATCTCCCTCCTCTCCCCCTCTCTCAATCTCCCTCTCTCTGTCTCCCTCCTCACCCCCTCCCCCAATCTCCCAACACTTATCTCTCCGTCACCACCTTCCATCCTAACTAACAATTAGCATGAGGAATCTTAGTGAGGATGAAATGTTTTTATTTAGTGAGCTTGACAATTAGTATGATTTGCCACTTCCTGCAAAGTGTGACCTCAACCACCCTGTGCACTGCCCGGACCCCAGACCACTTACCCTGCAGAGTTTCGAGAGGCCAGCCCCAGGCGTCTGGCCGCTTACCTTGAACAGACCAAACACAAACATGCTGTCTTATAGGTATAGATTAATGCAATTTATCATCAGGTAATTCAGAAGGTGAGAGTGAACGAGATGACGCTGGTGTACAATGTGCTCTGGGCCTACGACTCCTACACCATCAATCCCCTGAACAACATCTTGTGGCTCTACTACCTCCTCCAGTCCCGCTCGCCCCTACAGCTTCTGCCTCCATACGACCGCACTGCCATGGTTATCGGTGACACAGAGATCCTCACCTTCGACGGGGCCAAGCTGCGGGTACCTGTGTCACCGTGTGAGGTCATCTTGGTCTCTTACTCCTCCAGCAAGCTCACAATGGCCCATCCGGATGCTTCAGCCCCGCCACAGATTACATTTGTTGTCGCCTCAACTACCGCAATTATTAAGTCAAATTACAATATTGAAGTCAACGGCAAAAGAGTTCGTGATTTTGAGGTCACTTACGGGGACGTAACCATTCATCAGACGCACCTTCAGATTAAGCTGATCTCACCCTTCATGACAGTCAGAGTGGCCAAGAGACAGCGTATAGTGTCCTTGGAAACATCTGGCTGGACATTCGCTCACTTGGACGGCCTGATGGGTACGTACGATGGCGAGGCAGGAAATGACTGGTTCACGTCCACTGGTACCCGAGCCTCCAGTCTGCAGGAACTGGTGACATCGTGGCAGGAGGACCAGCAGTGCCCCACCCCTGCCGTGCCGCCCGTGAGCCCCGCTCAGGTCTCAGTAGAGAGAGTCCTCCACTGCTATCCCCTGCTTGGGATGTGGTCCAGGTGCAACTCCTTGGTGCGTCCAGAACCCTTCATCCACTTCTGCTACGTCACCTCCAACCCTTGCGACGCTGCTCAGGCCTACCGTACCGTCTGCTCTATTGAAGGAATTTCCCCGTTAGTGCCCAGAGGATGTTAAATATAATAAATTATATAAGAATCTGATAAACACATCAATGTTTGTTATAAAATTTAAACAAAGAGTTAAATATTGTATTTCACTACATGTTAGCTACCTGTGTTGAATAGCAATTAAGCGCATATTGAAGGTAAAATGTAAAACATTTTTGTGAGTTTATATTTATTGAACTATAATCACAAAATGAGTAAATGTAAACTAAATTTGTGCAAAGGAATACTTTAGAAACTTTAGATCATATAACAACAGCGTTATGAGCAGATTTATATATTTTTAAGCGACCTTTAAATATCAATAATTTTAGGCGCCGTCACTTGTTATCCTGAAGGTGCACTGAGGTGGAAGGTGCAAGTATTCTGTTGCCACCGTCAAGCAGATGAGGAAAAGCTCCGATATTCCACATAAAACGAGTTAAAACTAGCCGAGCTTTAGATAATATATTGTCTGTGTCCACGACACTGACGGAAGGTGGAGACACCGAAACATTCTGACGAAATATATACTTATTTCTGATGAAATAACTATATTTCTGACGATATAGTTATTTATATACTGTATATTTAAAATATATGGTTATTTCTGACGAAATAATTATATATTTCTGACGAAATAATTATATATTTCTGACGAAATAATTATATATTTCTGACGAAATAATTATATATTTCTGACGAAATAATTATATATGTCTGTCGAAATAACTATAAATATAAGGAACTTTCACGAAGACGTTAATTCCTTGATCTGTCAGTTACTCTGGACTTGTGGAAGCATCAATGCAAAACATGCGTCTTATTCCATCACTAAGATGGGGAACCTGAGGTAAATGAGAGTGAGCCCCACAACAGTATGATTAGACAGGTGTACGAAACGACTTCTGAAAAAATTACCATTATGCATTCTTTTTGGCCCCTTGTCTAAATTACCATTAAAAAAAAATCCCTAAGGTCTGGGAAAAATAAAGCTTTTAGTTTCGTCCATTTATTATACACCCGAAACTTATCCTTATAAGGCAGAGAAACTGAAGAAACTGAACCCCAAAATTCATTTGGCTAAGAAAATTGCAGTCATGATAAGCTAGTTGTATTCAAGAACTGGACTACAACTGTCTCTGTGCCAATTTACATTTGCTGTGAGCTAGTTACACACAAATTGGTATGTGTATCATGCACTTTGCACTCGTTCAATGCGTGGCGGTGGAAAGTTTACAATCGGGTGCGAGAACTATCTGCAGTAAGCAAACCTGGAGATATTTAGCTAAGATTTCTGATATTATATAATTTTGAATGAAGTACTTACACATTTCTTGAACATATGACATAACTATCTCTAAGAGTCTACGATTCTTTTACATTCACATACATGGTGATGTATGGAAAGTTTTGCTGACAGTTGTTGAGGAAGCCACATTTAAACTGCCCGCCGGCGGGAATATTTCCCTCCCCGGCCAGGTAATACCCGGAGGTGATTGGCCGAGCTGCCGCCCCCGTCAGTAGACACCCGCACCTTGTAGGGACAATACCTGGCCAGCCACGCCCTCAATCATCTCTAAGATATCGGGAATCCTGTACATCTTAGGCCAAAGCAGACCTCACAAGTCAACCTAGCTACTTCCGAAGCTTCGAACAAGACTTTAAGACGCGCCAGACTTCAGGTGAGTTTCAAGAGAGATACCAGTTACGAGTAAAGGCTACGGGACTTAAAACTCACGTCCTTGGAAGACAGACGAGTTAGGGGAGACATGATCACCACCAACAAAATTCCCACGCGCTTTCATTTGACAGGGTGGATAAGGACAAACTATTTAGCACAGGGAAACTTATTACTCAAATTACTCGAACCCTCATCACTACCCAGTAGGGAGCCGGTGGCTGAGCGGACAGAACACTTTACTCGTGATCCTGTGGTCCCGGGTTCGATCCCGGGCGCCGACGAGAAGCAATGGGCAGAGTTTCTTTCACCCTTGATGTCCCTGTTACCAAGTAGTAAATAGGTACCTGGGAGTTAGTCAGCTGTCACGGGCTGCTTCCTGGGGGTGGAGGCCTGGTCGAGGACCGGGCCCCGGGGAAACTAAAGCCCCGAAATCATCTCAAGATAACCTACGATCCTTGTGGATTTGCTCACTAGCCAAGTGGCTTCTACGAGGACACGAGGCCGGTGGTTTGGAGCAAACTCCTAGAGGCCCTTGTAACCGAGATTAAGGCTAGAAGCATTAACGACTAGAAGTAATAATAATTGATTTAGGAACAGTACATACATAGTTGCAGCGTTACAGTACAAACATTCTGTTAGATTTAAAGATAGAGGTCTACTGGTCTGCTAAGTCTGCTCACCTTATTTGGTGACCCATAGATATAAAGCTCTTCCTGCATAATAGTATAAAGATAGTTACAGTCAAGCTATCAAAACTATCGATCAAAGCTTTCAATGTGCATTAATGTGCCTACTTATCTTTGCCAAGTTTTCTTACAATGTACCTGCTAACATTTTATAAATTTCACTAGAAATTACCTACTTAATATTATCTGTTAGATTAAGGACCTGCCCGAAACGCTGTGCGTACTAGCGGCTTTACAAGAATGTGAACACATCATGCTATGTACTCTCATAAACCCAATGTAACTTCTTGTATATATATATTTAACACGGGCTCACCATAGCCCGTGCTACTTGGAACTTTGTTCCAGGTAGCGAATCTTAAACAACAACAATATATATTTAAATAAATAACTAAATAAATAAATAAAAAGTGCGAGATCGTTACGAAGATATTATAGTTTACCCTTAAAACAAATGTTTTCTTTATTGTCGTTTTTGAGACAACTACACCGGGGGGACTAAACGTGCATGATTTCTTTCATTGTAATGATAATAATTCATTGTTCTAGGGGACAGAGAGCCAGGGTTTATTTATACATGTTATGCTTATAAGTCCTATCACCTAATGGCGCTTTCCACTTGAATAGGTGCCTGGGAGTTAGACAGCTTGTTGTGGGGTTGCATTCTGGGGAGGGTCAGTAATTCGATGCTGGGGGAGGACCTCGAAGTAGTCTAAGATGCACTTAGAAATAAGTCTAAGATGCACTGCATGTATATACTGCCTCCCTGTCCCCCGACACAATGAATTATATTCTCAAACAATTCCTTTCAATTCCTTGATATGAATTAGGTGTCTCAGCTCAGTAGGAATGACATTTTTAATGTCCCCAAAGTCTCCCACCAGTAAATACAAACCTCAGTAAGCTCTTCAAATTGTTGGTGTTTCAATATATATATAGTCGTAAAGGCTTAGTGTTTTTTCTCGCTTATTTCCTTACCTTACCTCTTACCTGTCGCAGGTATTTCACTGAGAGACAAGAGGAGTCATTCTGCAGGTGGTCAACGTCCCAATCGCAAGTGGATCATGACAGATCAGTAGTGAAGGTATGTTAAGAGCCGGGATCATGATCATTTTCGGAACCTGTACATCTTTCCTGAATCATTGCGATATAGTTTACATTTATTAAACAGTTTATAAGCTCGGAAGCACTACGAGCTTCCGAGAGAACCCTGTCTATAACAGGGTTTTTCAAGCTGCGGGTCCCGACTTATTACTGGGTCGCAAAATAAATCAAATAGGTCGCTACAAACAGAAAAATCCAGACAAAAATAAGAAAATGAAAGCGACATTCTCATTCACACATTACAATTTACGAGGCTGGTGGCACGCTTGTTGCCAAGCAATTGGTGCTGAGTTGCTGCATCTTGGTAGTTCCTTTACACTCAACAATGATTTTGAACAATTAAATTAGTCATCATTTTGGATTAAGGTTAAATGAGAATTTTCACTTGTAAGTAAAAAGGCGATCATTATACTATATTACCTTTTACTGCTACTTATTTGTGTGAATTAGAATTTTCCACACTAACTCGATTAAACACAAAGATAGAAAGAGCTCAACACTGCACCAGATATGCGCGTAACATTGTCTTCCTGTGTTCCAATTTGGAATGAACTACTTACGAACATAACAACCACATCCTTTTCATTAAATTAAACCTTTTTAGTTAATATTGTTTACTGTGTCCTTTTTTATATAATTACATGTAAAAATGGGGATTGGAATACCACCTAGCTGGAAGCAGGGGGGACCCTTAGTCTCGGAGGAAACCACACATAACGCATTAGAGGGAATGTTTAGGTCCCCTCCAATACAGTTCCTGTACGGTGTTCTCCTACCACCCCCTTTCTTTGTGTTTTTTGGGCTACATTATGCATTGAAATGGTTACAAGATATACATTAGTTGATACAAAAAGTGCTTAAAGGTTATGAATCTCTTGAAGCTCCTCCGCCTTCGGACAGGAACCGAGGATGTCAGCAGGCATTTCCCCTCTGGATCGCCACACTGAGGCGCTGAATCAAAATACTGGATGCCCTTGGGTCTCTGGTGACGTCAATGAGCCTGGAGCCCATTTCCTTGAAAAATCCCAAGGCACTCTTACCCCAGGGGCCATATGCGTCTCAGGCCCATGTAAAATGTTTCTTGTTCTATATTCTTCCTAAAAAAATATAAATATGTAATTTAATTGAATAGGTTTCATCCATAAATATGCATTTATCATGTGCGAATAGTAAATAAAGGAACATTGTTCACAGAGTTTGTGTGAGCGAGTATATATGACATACACGGGCATACTGGGTTGTAACACTAAATGATCCTCTTGCTGAGAGTCGCAGTACAATAAAAAGGTTAGAAACCCGTTGGTTTATAACAACAATAACCTTGGGTGGAGAACAGCCTCGCAGCGTCTCCAAGCTCGTAAACTGTTTAGTAAATACAGACTAAACCGCCATGATTGATGAAAATATACATACCATATGTAAAACCACGACATTTTAGCTCTTACTTTGGGTTAGATTGGGTTGTGATGGATCGGGTCGGGTTGAGTTAGGTTTACCTAAAAAAGTAGGGATGGAGTAGGCTATTCACAGTTTTGCCGGGTCTTAAACCCTACTCGCGTCACCAGCTTTCGTTTGATCTAGTGATAGTAATTATCTCGATACTTCCTAAACTGTTACATCAATACTTTTCTCTTGGTGGGTTAATATTTACTTCCTTACCCAGTTCCAGTCCCGCGCGCGCGCGTGTGTATACTCACCTAGTTGTGCTTGCGGGGGTTGAGCCTTGGCTCTTTGATCCCGCCTCTCAACCATCAATCAACTGGTGTACAGGTTCCTGGGCCTACTGGGCTCTATCATATCTACATTTGAAATTGTGTATGGAGTCAGCCTCCACCACATCACTTCCTAATGCGTTCCATTTACTAGTGCATTTACGTGTGTGTGTAATTACCTAAGTAATTATCTAATTGTAATTACCTAAGTAATTGCCTAATTGTTAATGTTCTTGGGCTTGACCTGGAGACGGTCAAGACTAAAACGGTCGTCCCCACAACCTGGCCACGACTCTTCCTAAAAGAATTATTATCTCGATACTTTAGTATCGAGTGTAATATAGTGTGTGTGTGTGTGTGTGTCTGGGTGGGTGTGGGTGTGTGTTTGTGTGCCTGCGTGTACGTGCACGTGCGTGCGTGTACGTGCCTGTGCGTGCCTGTACGTGCGTGCACGTGAGTGCATCGTAATCGCGGGCGGTAGTAGCGTTGACAGCATACAACCCACACAATGTATGACGTCATTCAAGGAGGCTTGTATCATCAATACAGGACACATTCTTATTACATACTCTTATTACATACAGTACACACGCTCATAAATGCAGTATGCACACACACACACACACACACACACACACACACACACACACACACACACACACACACACACACACACACACACACACACACACACACGCATGAGAGTACAGTACGCACACACATATATGTGCACACTCATTCATACAGTCCCCCCTAAAGTGATTCACAGCACCGCTCCTGTGCCAGGTAAGTCCACTACGGGCTCACCATAGCCTGTGCT